ATTTAAATTTTATGATTCATGATAAAGATATTTATTAGTATATAAATACTGATATTTTTCTATATGTAGTATTCTATATGTTGTATCGTTTGTGCAGAATTTTCGTTGGAGTTATCTCGTACCATCACTGGTGAAACGACAATTCAACGAGGGGTAACTGAAGAAGTACATTTAACAAGCAGAGTAAGTACAATATCGATCATGAAAAGGAACGCGGCTTCCATTTTTTTCAACTGTACTTTATTATATTTTCTACATTTAAAATAAAATAGTCATATATATTTTAATTTATAAAAAGAGGGAGAAAAAAGGCCATAGATAAGTAATGAGTACAGCTCAAAGAAATAACAAATGCTTAGATTAATTAATATAAAATAATAAAAACACATCGATATTTAAGCTGTATTCCAAAATTCAGTGTCAGCTCTAAAAATTGATAGTTTACGTTACGTGCTCTATAGATTTGTAGCACTAGTAATGAATTTTGGAACACAGTCTTAGTTATAGATGGTAGAAAACGCTTTATGTTATGCGTTCGATATATCTGGAACTGAGACAAATGACATTTATTCATAGAATACCCGGTAACAAATTTTTTATGCATGAATATATGTAAATATGTATAAACATACATAAACATATATAAATATTCATAAACATATAATTATGTATGAGATATGTCCATACATGTTTATACATCTTTCTTTAGTTTGTAAAATTATTTTTTAGTGTATTAAAAATAATAATAATAATGAGAAAGCATCAAAAATAATTAAAAGGAAAATTTTCCGTTGTTTGTTTAAGAAAAAATCAAGTTTGGAAAAATATAAAAGAATTGCTCATATATAGTTGCATGTAAAATTATACATGACAGTTATGTATGAGCAAATTTTTACATTTTTCCAAACTTGATTTTTTCTAAAACAAACAATGCGAAAATAGTTCCATTAACTATTTTTGATGTTTTCTCAATATTATTATTATTTTTAGTACACTAAAAAGTAATTTTACAAAAGAACGAAAGATATATGGACATATTTCATGTATAATTAAATGTATCTTTAAATAATTGTCCAAAGACATGCTATTGATATATGCATATTTAAGCTATATTTTCATGCTATATTTACGTATACAGGAAATAAATATGTATGTAAAAATTTTTATAATCTGTATTATTATCGAATGTATTTTATGCAGACAGATTTTGGAACATATACTTTATTAAATTATAGAGATATTATATAAAGATATATACACTTATAGAGTTTTTCGACTATGTGAGTCTCATTTAGCGTGTGAGGTTGACATGTCCTTGACAACAGCAACATCTTTTTTGACACATTGCGTCGGTCCGTAGAAAAAAATCTGGGAATCATTGTGATCGAGAGGAGACCAGGCGGGTACATGACAGAAGTAGATGGAATACCTGATTCGCTGCCAAAAGCTGTAGTCTACACACTGCCATTTCGAGCCCTCCCGCGTTACGCGTGCGTGTCTTTCGTCTTCGCGCTTTGTCTTTCCCTTTTTACCCATCGCCTTTCGCTCAGCAATCTTTTTATTAAGATCGTTCTTTTTCGCGCGATGCATACAAGAGATGCATTATCTCGGCGCGTTTCAAGTTTCTCAAAGCAATGCTTCGTTCTCGCGATGTTGCACCGAAATATGTACCCAACCCTATTAGGCTTGGCTTAATTAATCGTGCAACTTCTTGATGTTGTAATATATATAGAATTATTATCATTATGTTATATATTTTATTATTGATTATATGAGGTAAAAATAGAATTTATTTTAATTTATTATTTGTTTTTTTACACTCCTTATCCTATTAAGCTTTTTGTAATATGTATATAATTATTAGTATTAATATCTTAGCACATACATATTTCACTCTATCATCTTGACACTGATGAGACATTTCTGGAAATGGAGAGTGAGGCAAACTGGGGACAAAGCCCGAGGAATTTACACAATTTATGTTTACATGCGAGGTACTTGTCCGGCATTGATTGGTTTTTATTCTCGGTTTATTTTTGATCGCATCGTGCAGTTTTAACAACGGCCAGATGCGTTTATCGGTCATCAGTGAATTATATGAGCCATCGCGAATTCCGCCCACGATATGCACACGTCTGGCGCCTCGTCATCATCCAAAGGGATCTTCCGGATTTCGAGAAAAAGCAGTCGAGAATATAAAAGAATTAATTTATGTGGTCTTTGCAATCAACTAAGTACTTCGTCAAATTCTGCAATCGACACTTAATTTCTGTAATCAATTTCTTATTTTAACATTGTCAACAGAAGTTAAATAACAATTGTTATACTTATTTAAATTTTATGCAGATACATCATTTTATTTCTTTGGAATTAAATTTAACGTTTCATTGAAGATTTATACGCTCATTTATTACGATGAAATAATATATGAATTAGAATGCTCTCATAATTCAGTATTGACCTTATAAATCAGTATTGACCTTGCATCGTTTATCATGGTTCGCTCGACTTCTTCCCTGAGAAAACTAACAGTTGTCGTAAATTACCGCGAACGACCGCGGAACAAACGTTAAGGTAGCTTTAGTTCGTCCATTAAGTCACGCTAGGAAAACTGCTCGCTCGACCATAAAAATATGCAAGTATGTTCTGGATACTCGCGCGTGATTTTTCCTTCGTCTGCCAGCGGACTGGCACCGAATAGACGTTTAAGTTTAAACGCCATCGCTTATTCTCATCGTTTTTCATTGTAAAGCTTTATTTCTCACACCTATTCCGCTTGACATTGCCAACAAAGCGTCCGCGCATTTGTTTATGAGGGGCTTAACTATCCTGAGCAAATCGTCTCTTGCTCTTTTTAAACTAACATTTACGATTTATTGGTATTTGCACGGTGTGCCTACCATTGTTTAAAACGGAACTCCACTCCAGTACAACATTATTATCAAGAAAATTACCAAGCAATTATTAAAATTTACACTATTAAAATTCATAATGAAAACATAGGAAGTTCTAAATTACATGAGAAAAATATAAAAAAAATATTCTTTGAATGATCTTGTACTATTCTTTGAATAGTACAGTATAATTATATAAGCAGATTATTAATTTCAATCGTAATTCTGATAAAATATATTCTATTCAAATTGTGTCATGCAGTTTCAGAATCGAATCTGTGGTTACTGAATCCGTGGCTTTCAGAACGCGAGAAACTTCCACGTGCAAACTCCCGTGCGCCGAAAATCCAGTGTGGGCTATGCACGACTTCACGGAGATCCGAGTTCGTGTACTCAGTTCTAAAGATGTATTGGAGAAGTGTAAGAAGGGTAGGCTATTTCTGGTCGTGGGAGCTGAGAGAGAGACTCGCTGTGCAAACGGCTCTTAGCCACTTCGTACGCAGAGAGTAGTCTCGCTTTCGCCGCGTATCGTCGATATACACCTTTCGGGAGGACCGCATCTCGCGAAAAGCCGAACGATGTGACCGGTGTAATGAGAGTGAAGATGTTTTGCTTGGTGATCGGCATGAACGAGAATCTATACAGGCTATGAAATCAACAAAAATTGTAGTATAGAAATAATGGAGAACGCGTGCATCCGATTACACTGGAACGAGAAACGAATGACATCAAATACGTATAATAGACGAGAATGAATATTTTCATGTAGGAAGAAATGATAAGAAGCAAAATAATTTTTTATTTCTAACAACGAAACAGGATAAATCAAAATTACTTCTAAAAGCAGTGTTTAGAGAAAAATTTGAAAAGAAATTTTGCTTTACATTTACAAGATTAAATATTATCAAGGAATTAAAAAAATTTCTGTACAAATATTGAAAATTAATGATTATTTTAATAGTTTCATTTTTAAATTTGCATTTCCTAAATTATTTTTAAAGAACTATTAAATTATTTGCATGAAAGTGCATATGCGGAATTAATAAGTGAACTAATACAGAAATCAAAGTTGTGATTCAGGACATGTAATGATGTACAGAAATTGTTTTCTTTTTTTAGAATTATAAATATGAAAAGTGAACCGTGAAACTCTCAATATTATGTCAGTTTACGCGTCAGGTGACGCGTGCGAGGTATTAAGCAACCGAAAGTAAAATGTCAAATGGTTAAATACCTGTTCTAAGAAAAGAGAGAATAAATATAATATTGAGCAGACGTTAGCTCAAGTAGTAAGACAAATTTCTTTTTAAACAAAAATTTAAAACGGATGTTAAAACTTTTCAACTTTGGATCAATTATAAAGACTTATATCGAGAAGCACCGATAAGTGATACGCTTCGATCTAAATTAAATATTTTATTCAAAAAGAGGAAGGAAATCATATGCAAGAAGTTGTACTCAGAATCTAAGGCATGTGTAGATGAATCGAAAGAGGTCGAAACGAAATTCAACAGACGATATCGCGGCGGAGGCGAGACGGTGATGCGTGAAAATGATCGAAAGCGCAAAGTCGCGATTCCCATCGTGTGGATGCCAAGTTTCGAGCTGATGTCCATTTATCTGCATTACCGGCAAAACGATTTCGTTAACGTGTGGGCGTAAATGTGATTGGACATTAATTTCTGAAGAAAGATTCAGTATATAAATCGACTTTTGTTCCGGTTAAAACGCGAGCTTCTATAGCGCGCTCTTAAGATCAATTCGATTCGCACGATTTGTGAAATCGTCGCGAGTTCAAGTTCAAGACGAATCTGAATCATTCGAAATCTCGAAAGCTTAACATATAATCTTTCATTCTAACCGCTTTTAAAATCGCAGAGTATATTTATAATCTCAAGTCATCAATCAGAGTACTATAATATTAATAATTTCAAGCCACCAAGAAGGGCATGATTAAGAAGAATAATCTAAGATCAAGAATACTCCATTACCTATTTCTATAATCAACCTCGAAATCCACGTGATAATATTTGTAATTGTTAGAAAAATTATGAAGTATTATTAATGTTCTCACTGAATATCGAATAATTATCTCAGGAAGAGACAATGTCCTTCTGCAGGATTACAGGTAAAAGTCGGGGTCTCCCTAGACCAAACTACTTTCCGCTTTTACCACCTATAAGTCCAGCGGACGCGAAGCGATTCTGCCGCATCACTGGCAAATCTTACGGCTTGCCGACTCATCATTACATTCCGGTGCTGTTGGGCGCGCATCCTCACGACAAATCAAAATGTAAGATCACGAACGCGTCGGGTCTCGGCGCGCATCATTACACCGCCGGTTTGATTGTCGGCGAAAAGAAGAGACACGTGATGCTCAAGGACTATCGCTACGTCTTCCCGATTTTGGAGGGCGAGGGTGAACAGCAACGTGCATTGAGAGAGCTTTTAAACACGAAGCAAACACCGATTGAAGAAGCAGAGAAGTTTGTGTACACGGTGGAAGAACGAAGATGCAGTCTTGTATTTCCGGCGAAGTTGGAAGCCGCCGTTAGGGACGGAGACGTCAAAGATGTAATGCTTTCGAGAGATTGTGATACTGTTTTGTTAAGATTGAAGCAAGGCAAAAACGTGTCTGTGGATTTTAAGAACTTAGAGGATTTCGAAAATCTTTATGACGGCATGGGACCACGAGAAGAGGTGCTGAAGGAACGAGAAAAATTGGAAATGGAAGCTAGAAAACGAAAGAGGAAGAAACGGACTGTACTGAATTATGCAAAGAAATTTTTTGAGGAGAAGGAGAGAGCAGCCGATGAGGAAGAGCTCCAACGTACCAAGCAGCTTAAACTACGAAGCATCAAAGAAGAGATCAAGGAGGAAATGGCAGAAAACTGGAAGCACGTGAATGTAGAACAAGCGAGACTGACATCTTTTGATATCGTGAATATGTCGAGTGCCCTCAAGGATGTAACAAAACCCGTTTCCAACATATTAGACTGGAATTTATTGCAGAACGACTTGAAAAAACCAACTGGCGTGCCAATAATCGAAAAAATACCAGTACCTGTAATGGCTGAGCCACAAATCATAGATCAAGAACCAATCTTATACACCAGTCCTATACCTGAGTTTGTAGGTGGTTTTGAAGCGATCGCAATCGTAAAACCGCTGACACCTTTGATTCCAAAGCCGGATATTACATTGCAGCGTGCGATTCAAAATATCCCACAGGATGATCTTAAAGAGAACGCGAACGTGACGGAGAAGCTTTTGCAAGCTGGAGAACAGGCGTTAGAATGTCTGCCTAAGATAGAGGAAATACCCGAACTAGTGCGAAATCTATCCACTGGCAAGAAGCTCACGATGCATAACGTTAAAGGTCTCAAGCTGGACATCAAATCGGCGGAAAGATTTGTCGCTGGTCAAACGGTGCATACACCTTCCGGTACTATTTTCGTGCCTGGTCAAACCTTGCAGACGCCTCAAGGTCCCACCTTCATTCCCGGATTAACTCTTAATACGCCTGATGGTCCTCTTTTGGTCCCTGGACAGATCGTGACCGTGAATGAGTCAGAGGGAGCAAGGACATCAGTGTTCGTCGCCGGGCAGACTTTAACGACAGAGCGAGGCGAGCGTTTCGTGCAAGGACAGACATTCCACACAAGCGAAGGAAGCAAGTTTGTTGAAGGTCAGACCGTTCTGACGGAGGAGGGTCCAAAATTTGTAGCTGGTCAAGTAGTAGCAAATGGTACCTTCGTCGTTGGTCAAACCGTGATTACTTCGGATGGACTACGTTTTATGGCGGGCCAGACCGTTATGGATTGTCATGGTGAGCCAGTCTTTGTGCCGGGACAGAATGTGCAGATCAATGGCAAGCATGAATTTGTACCTGGTCAATGCGTCGAATCACCGAACAGCGAATCCAAGTTTGTTCCTGGACAGACATTGCTAACAGCCGAAGGTCCGCAATTTGTTCCAGGTCAATACGTAACTACGAAATCAGGCGAGAAACATTTTGTCCCTGGCATTACTAGAGAAACAGAGGATATCTCAACATTTGTGTCGGGAATGACGCTGGATACCCCGAAAGGTCAGAAATTTGTTGAAGGGCAGGTGTTAAAGACTCCGGAAGGTGTGGTATTCTGTCCAGGACGAACCATTATCACTGAGAAAGGCTTCGAATTTATCGCAGCGAAAAAGTTCGATGAAGTAATTTTCCAAGACGCCGGTCCTATCGGTATACCTGTGGATTCAAAGACTGCGAGTGCAATATCAACTTTTCAGCAGCGTGAAGTTTTTGGTCACATGGTGCAGACAGAGAAGGGTATAGAGTTCTTTCCGGAAAACGCGAGAAATTTGCCGGAAGGGAGAAAAATCGTGCCCGGGCAGTTGGTCACCGGTGACAAGGACGGACCACGTTTTGTACCGGGTGTCATGACAGAGGATGGCTTCTTACCAGGTCAAATAGTTACAACAGAGAAGGGTGAGGAGTTCGTGCCTGGTCAAGTAATTGATACTAGCAGTGGACCGAAATTCGTGCCCGGCCAGATAGTGGAGACCCGGACCGGTCCCAAGTTCGTGCCCGGTCAAACTGTAGATACGCCGGATGGACCACGTTTCGTGCCAGGTCAGATTGTCGATACCAAAGTAGGACCGACGTTCATTCCCGGTCAGGTAATCTACACCGAGGAAGAGGGATCTAGATTCGTACCGGGACAAGTGGTGGACACGCCGGATGGGCCCAGATTTGTACCCGGTCGCGTGGTGGAGGCAGGCGAAATGGGTGTGACCTTCATACCGGGTCAAATCGTGCAGACGGAAGAAGGGCCTTGTTTCGTCGCCCCTGATCTCATTGATACACCTGAGGGTGAGTTAGAGTTTTCTGTACAGGGGTTCGAAGTTACTCCCGAGGAGCTGCGACTGCTGCGGCCGCAGCATCTACATTACAATCCACGTTTTCGCCATCGCGGTGAGACCAGCATAGACTCTAAGATGTTACACGAACTATCTGAGGCGGGATTATCCGTGGGACGAAAAGTTGCGACGAGTCTACCGACGGTGGACGTGAATGTGGATCCGAAAGCAATGGCTTTAGAGCAGGCTCTCGCCGTGACGACAAAATTAGGTCTGCAAGGTGGTACGGCGGTGAAGTTGGCGCAAGTCATGTCGACAATTGCGCAATTAGCGAAAAATATTGTTCTGCAGCAGCAACAAAATTTAGACACTGAAAATGCAATAATGTTAACAAACGGTAATAAATCGCCTGTTATTGAAATTGAAGAAATAAGGACAAACGATGAAAACAACGTCGAGTCACTGCAGAGTATAATAAGAGCAGCGATCGCAGCAACTGCCCTGATAATATCAGATAATCAACAAATAACATTGGATAATAGCAACTCTCAAGACTTCGTCTATTCTTCCATTAGTGAATCGTTTAATATTCTGTTGCGTCAAAACGATCAAGACATTGATCGATCGGTGGATGAAATTTTAAAAATTCTCTTAATTTCGCAAAATCGCAGTTCTCTTTGCCAAAGCGTACTGTCGGAATTGTTAAACACCAAGAAAAACAAAGTGAACATTCTCAAATCGACCGTGAGTCCATGCCAGCCGTTGCGGAGAGATACTATACTCGAAAAGCTGTCGATGGTTCTCGAAGAGGAACACGATACGGATTTAATTGGACCGGCCTTTCGAACTGTTTCAAAGAATGATCCGGAGCTAGTGTCACTTGTTTTGGAAAATGTGTCGCGACACGTAGCGAACGTGGCGACTGAGAAGGAAGCTGCGGAGACGGTTCATAAGGCGATCGTCTTGGCAGTCCGAGAATCAAGCAAAATTCGCGTAACGGAGCTATTGAACGCCGAGGGATCGGACGTTCGCGAGATGTTGCTTCAAGCTGTAGGTTTAGCACGAGCTCTGGGGATGCCTGACACAGCGAACAGCTTGCTGTCGGTGATCAGCGACGAGAAATCTACCCGGGCTCTAGCAAACGACCGGGTGACCATGGACGTATTGAAGAGGCTGGTAATCATGAGGAAACTCGCAGAAGAACGGCCACCTTTTATGAATGCTCTCGGACAGCTATGCAGCGATCCCGAACTGGCTAAAACGGATCCGCGATTACGAACTCTCGTAAGAGAGAGTGCCGCGTTGATGATAGTACCTGAAGAGATTCCGTTGATGTCTTCAGCCGACGTTCCAACTGCGTTGCTACGTGCTGATAACAGCCTGGCAATGGAAGAGTTCTTATTGAGAAGAAGTCATAAGCGGTCGGCTATTTTCATGATTTTGAAACAGGGTATGCAAGCAGTCGTACCTAGAGAAGCTTCCAGATCAGTGTTAACCGGTGAAGTCGCCTACACTGTCCTTGATGAAAATGGTATACATCATTTCGAACCGTTGCACGTATTTTCGGCACTCAGACTGAATCGTCCAGCCGCTCATCGGTTCTCCATGTATTGTTGCCCGGTAGCAAAGGAGGTGGATATTGATGGCGAGATGATGTCCACCACCTTTACCGGCACGACATCGATTGCGAGTAGTCTGGATGGCTCTGCCAATGGTAGTTCCAATAAGCAAGAAAGTAATACTGCAACTCTATCAAAATCTGAACAATCGGTTGCTTTTTATTCAGTCAGCAGGGAGAACACGCCAAGTCTGAAGAGATTGAACGGTGCTCGACAATGGTACAACTTCGAGCGGGTAAAGTATAATATTAGGAAGATGGAGACTGTGATGAAAATTTTGGATTCTTCTATCGGAGAATCAATATATTTAATATTTTATATTTCACGTTAGCTATAAATTATTTAATCAAGAAAAAGTGATTCACGTTAGGGGTCTAGTTTCGTGATATAATTCTTAAGATCTTCATCTCTTGTTAATTTCTTTCAACGCTGAATGGTTCCAAAACCTGTCTCTATTTTTCGATTAAAACCATAGTTTTATAATTCAATTGTGTTTTACAATAAAAAAAACGCATCATTTCTATTTTTATTTCAAGGTGCACTTGAAAAAAAAAGTCCGATACATTTTTTTATTCTATTTGTGTCGTCGTATTTTTGTTACAGGGATCTTCGGAAAATTATGTCATTGTGAAGGACTATAAAGCGGACACCGATGGATTCACCGTGAATGTTGGCGACATCGTCGAGGCCGTCGATCATGACGGTTCGGCAAAGTAAGTAATTTTTAGTTCAAGGATACAATTTAAGAAGAGAAAAGAGAAGATAGCTTCTCGATGGATATTGTCATCGCGCTGCTTTTCGTATCGTGCGCGTACACGTGGGTGGCAACCGTTTCGTGGTAGATAAAATTCACCACTCGATCTAAAGATAGTTCGCGCGACTCATCGTTCACACGTACGCGCGTCTCACGCTGTGCGCGTCGACATGCTTGCGATAACGATTGTCCAGGTTGTTTATCACCGATACTCGAGATCTCGGCGCACATGCGGAAGTGATAACCGAGGGATCAAATTGGACGGGCGCATTTATGGCCAACAGCTGCATCTCGTCTATTAACGCTGACACTGGTCTTCTCGCGACAGCGAGCGCAGATAATATCGGATTTTGAAGGCAGCTACTGTTTGTACGCGTATTAACCGCGGCCGCAATTACATATTTTCACGTCCATCGCTGAATCCCCGTGACTTTTCCGTGTGATCGTAAGAAAATCGGGGAGCTTCGGTCAAGCTAATCCGGATGTCGAACCATAAGACGAGGATCATTGCCCCGCGAGTATAAGACACGCTTGGGTTTCTGCTTGCACACCCACCCGCGGTGTTCTATTTTTATACTGCACGGTGGTTTTATTGGCGTTCGGCATGACTCGTCTGACATATGATGCGAAATTTGTAAATACTTTGACAGATGGAAAATACGCGTGAAATTTATAGTTACATAAAAATCTCGCGATAGTGATCTCGGTTATGCAAGAAAATTAGCGTTTACGCGCTCGCTTGTACAACAGGTGAATATTCCTCGAATAGCCAAAGATAAAAGTCTTAAAATTGCTATTAAATCGCATGAGACTTCTGGAATGAAGTAATATAACGGTAAAAGAACCGTACTGTGAAAGCTACGTCTTGCTACTACACGTCGTAAAATTAGCACAGCACATGGCTTTCAACTACATCCGCAAAATTAACAAGATAAAACGGCATGTTGCGAAATATAATCCGCAAATGGCACCCTCATCGCATCACAATGCTTATGAAAACACCCGCTTTAATCGCTTTGCACGTTAAAGACTTACTCATAGTTATGCGGTTAATTCCGATAACAAATAAATAAGTAGTTCTATATAAAAAATATAATATATATATAACAAATATGTAATTTAACAGATATATAACTTAACATCAAGAGACACAAGTCTCTTTTTTATAAACTCCTCGTCGCACAAGTAGACGAGATCCTACAGCGGATGCTTCGCGTTGTTGTAGGAAAGCGAGGATCGATCCCGATCTGGAAGTCGAAGTTGGCGATATCTTGGACAATTCGGCCGCCAAACACAAGCTTTCGATTCGACCACGTCGAAATCATACAGATCCGCGTGCTCGAAGCAGTCCGAGCGTCGACTCGGATTCAAGCCTTCAAAGGTAAAGCGCGTCGAGACTGGGTCAACAATATTTATTTATCATCTGATAACGTTTTGACTAGAAATACGTTCCGCATCTGCTAGTTTTATCGCTGAAAGCGTAAATTAGCTCTTCGCTATATAATATTTTATCCTGGTCTCATAACAAAGTCTAAAGTAACCGACTCAAAATAGAATAATGAAGGCTGGAACATTAAATTTTGACTCATCAAGAACACGTGATCGTCAGCTTCCTGTGCTATAAGATAACGATTGTCGTCATCAACGATGCCATTAAAATGCTGTCAATCTCTTTAATATTGTATATCGTAAATAGTGACAATTCCAGAAATATATATAAATTTTTAAAAAGTTAACACAAATTAGTTTGATAAGTTTATAATGACAAACAATTTGATGAAGGTATTATAAAAAGTATTCAACTCTGCAAAATCTCAATTATATCTCAATTTAATCTCAAAATAAGCTGTACTAATTGTAACGAATATCTTTATAGACAAATATCACAAAAACTATTATGTCCTGACTAAAAATACAAAATGATAAGTTACTATAACATTGAATATTCAAATATTTAACTGAATATTTATAATAAGTGATTTGATAAATTTCTTTGTTGTTGCATCGTTAGTACATTTAATGGAACAGTCATTCAAATTCCTGCAGTATGTGCGCGTTTTGTGACCGTTTAAATACGACAGACGACACAAAAGCAATCCGTTCATGCAGCTGTATTGAGAGCAAATTTGGATTTGCACGGTTTCAAAATAAATTTAACAACGCTGAATTATGACGACGCTAATGAAGATTAAGCATTTATAAACGTCCTGGGCAATATCTCGCGCGATCATATCTCTGTGTGATTGGAGGCAGGCCAATGTCAGTAAAATCGATAGTATAACTTATCACCTAAAGGAATCTTTAAACGTCGAAAAGGCATTGTATGTATTAATGAGATATTACAGACTTTTTGTAAAAACTCATATTTATAATTTTAGAAAATTATGTTGTTAGACAAATGCTCGTTTCTACCAATGTAATTTCATTTTAATCTTGATGTATAACTAACTTTTCATTTTTTTCTAGTTCTAAGAATTAAAAAAGAATGAAGAATAAGTTGACCTGAGATTAAAATTAATCTACATTGATAGAAACAGCTATAATTCGATATGCAATATTGAATTACGTTAAAGCGAATTGGTGAAACTGAGATAGTGCACTTCTCTATAACTATGAGAATGGAAACATTACATGTTAAAGCTCTTGTGTGGCAATTCGGGTACGTTCGCCAGCATATTTTGCGTTCTGTGAATGGACGATGACTTCGATAACAAGATGGCACGATGCCTTAGTCATTCTGCATAAATATAACTGCGGGACTCCTACGCCTTCGAATGTCTATCTATATCATCTCTGTCGATAACATCCGATCCAACCTAATCTAATTGTTAGATAATTTTATTTGATTCAAAATTATCGGCGAAAAGCGAGAATAAAATTGTACAATGAATTAGTCGAGAATAAAATCGGTCAATGAAGATTTCCGAAAAATGACCTTTTAATAAGTTTTTAAATGTTAAGAATGTACAATTGCGAATTATCGAAGATGATTAGTATGATAATTTCAAGGAAGTTTATTCTTATCAAAGATGCAATATTATAAAATTTCTTGAAATATCTGCAATCTTAGAAAAATGCAAGTATTCGGCGGAAGATTTTTTTTACAATATGCAAATGTCTAAGACTTGTTGCTTTTAGGATATACGTTCGTACCTCCGACGGAAGGCAGGGATGGTTACCTTCATCCATTTTAATGCAAACGGCGCTTAATGAAGAGACTTCATCAATGAGTCGACCAGAAGATTCTCATTATCGACGAGAGTATGTACTTGCTCTTATCTTTCAATTTTTAAGGAATTCTTATAATTTTCAGTTACATATAATATTATACATATGTATATATTCTTTAATCTCTCTTTCAATTATATTTTATTTCCTGTCATAGGCTTAAAAAATTACAATACTCACAATCTTTGTTATATTTTATGTTATAATTAATATAATCAACAATAAGACAAAAATATTTTAATATTCGCTTACAGAGCTGTTGTGAAAGAGTTAATCGAAACTGAGGAAGAATTCGGCAAGGATATTCAACTTGTCGTTGAACGTTATCTGAAGCCTCTCGATAATCCTGGCGTTCCGCGAGCTGTGCGAGACAATAAAGAAGTTATCTTCACTAATTTGAAGCAAATAGCTGATTTTCATAATACGTAGGTATTTACGGCAGCATACACTGATAGACAAACGCAAAAGTTCATTGCAACACTATCACAGACGAGCATTTACGGATAATACTTGATATACATTTCTGTTTTTTTAAATTGATTTTTATTCAATTTATCGGTGGAAATAAAGGATATACGTACATGCTTAATTACCACATACAAACAATCACGAAATTTATTAGGATATTCATTGTATTTATAAAATATTATAGGTACATATAATAATACACTATTATTTATCTAAATAGTTTATTATGTTAATTACATAAACAAATATAAATATAATTATTTTGTTATTTATAATTGCGAACACATCGAAGAAACACATGCACACTCGAATAATCTTTTAATGCGCTAAATACAAAGTAACACATTGCATCAAATTATAATTTCCCTACTCAACAGTATAAATATAATATATCTCATTATTATGCGTAACAATTACATTGTTAAGTGGGAAATTATAACATTAATGTAATGTTAATGTTATTTTGTATTTAGCGGATAATGCACATTGTTATTGGCTTATCAGATATATTATCACTAAAAATTATTACACAAATTCTGTATTATACACAATTACATTATGTACGCACATACAACTTGCCACACATTATTTTTTCACTTATAGCGGAATACGATGTATATAGCGTAAGTTGAAGTATTTGTGTGATAGTGTGCTTCTTCGTATATGTGAACGTGACCCAAAAATTAATCTATATTTGTACTATCGCTTTTTAAGAATTTGATTATAATGTCCTCTTTAACGTTATACATAATTTGATTGACGTAACAAGTCAATGTGACTAAATAAAAATAAAAATGTTACTATAAAACTGCATAAGCTTGAAAAACATATAGTAGTTCTAATCTCATTTTAAAAAATTATCATGTTACGATATTGATAAAATATTAAGTTAATTTGATATTCATTATGTTACTAACTCAACCTAATTCATCAGCGCTCATCGATATTGATCTTGTTGTTTTAATCTGAGATAAAATTAAATTGTAATTTCTCCGTGAGGACCCGTAAGATTGATTTCCACCCTTTATAAATCAGTAAATAATACTGACAACTAAAATATGCCACATTTTTGGGACTACCTTGTATTACATATCGCTCCTAAGTAAAGCGTGCTCATTCTGAAGATGACACAGACATCCATTCCGTAGCATGTTAGGCGTGGTGTGACTTTGGCATGATAATTAATTCCGGCCTTACTTAGATCGTTCGGCAGGGTGTTGATCGAGGGTGTCAAGTACTATGCGGATCAACCACGTATGCTTGGCAAAACTTTCTTAAGACTGGTAAGTGACTCACTAGTAATATTTATTATTGAAATAATGAAGTTTACATTATCTGAAAAATAATTTCTAATTATTTATATAATTATTTTCTAATATTGTAATTCTTTTTATGCAAGAGCGCAAAATAATAGTAAAATGTTTGACCTACGAGAATTGCATTCGTGAAAATATATAAAGTATAAAATAGAAGTTTCTATAAACAAACATGGAGGAATAAATTTAATATTATACATTACATAACCGACGCTTTGAATCAAATAGTTAATTACAATAAGCTATTCTATTTCAGGAGAGAGACTTTGACAAGCACGTGGCGTACTGCAGGGACGAGCCCGCTGCTCAAGAATTTCTTCAGGCAAACGACGAAGTACGCGAATACTTTGAGGCAAGTTGCGTTCTATTATTATTATAATTGTAGAAATTCATTTCTTATATTAATTTGTTAATAAATTGTTGTCGCTTTTAATCAAGAATTCATTACTAAGCTTAAATTGACGAAAAATGCGAAATTTAGTTTTCAAATTAAATTGAATTAGCATCTGTAATGAAATTAGGACTTAAATTTGCTAATAGTAATAAATTGGCATTAATGATGTAAAAATCAAGATTAAGAGATCGCGAACTAATATTTTATTTTTCTAAAAATACTAAAGGTATATTTACATCTAAATGCAAAATCAAATATTACTAAAAAATAATAAAATAATATAAAAATATAAATTGAATATCAGATACTGTATATGTATATTAAAACATATTGCAGTATATATTGTATATAAAATACGTATTAAAAATTATTTTCTGTAGACAGTTTATTATCTATTAATATTTTTTAAAAGCTTTTAACCCGCACCATGTAACTTATTTTAAAATATCATAATAAATATCCTTTTATTTGTCATTTTAATGCGTCACACGCGTTGCGAACTTTCACTGGAAATTCATGTTTGATTGCCTCAGCGGTATGGATTGAAGAAAATGATGATAATTATATAACACGCGGGGGATATGCGGGCGTGTGTCCAGCCCTCAAAATAGCTGAGTTTATTCTTATAACGGACGGAACATCTTTCGCTTCTCTTACCTACGACTGACAGTATCGAGATGCGTGCTATTCGGAAAAATGCATTTTCATCAAGGTTTACGATATTATAGACAATATTATATAACACGACATATTATCCGATAATGCATATTATAGAACATAAAATATTATAGCTCCTCGTTAAATATATTTTGTTATAAATTTATAAATATGTATTTTAAGATTTATATTTTTATAATTACAGGTCTTCGATCTAATATAAAATTATCCTTTAAGATTATATCATCTGTTAGAACGATCAAAAATTAATTTTGTTCTCAATGAGATGCAAATTCTTTGCTAAAAAATTATTTTAATTGGGGAATTCCGGATTTTTTTCATCTGCAAATTCTTATGCGCCCTTTACATCCACTATGAGTGAATAAAGTGAAGTAGATTGCTCGGCTGCCGTGTAAAAAATGCAAGGAGAATGGAGATGAAGTGTATCGATGATCCATGCAATCTTCGTATTGTTTTCACGCGTGGTCAGTCGTACACGAAATCGTCTGGCGTCTAAGTATAGCCGTTACCGTATTGGTCTTCCGAGTATACTACGGCGGCAGTTGCGAGCACCCGAAGATTCCTCCTCAGTGTCGTGGACCACTGACCATCACACCGTCTGTGTGTGAGAATCTTCGCGTGATCTACTGAATTTGATCAGGAGCCGGACTCCTGTGCGCAGTTCATCTGCGAGCAGCCACGCGACGACCATACCTCGACGAAATATCTCGACCTCGGTAGCGATCTCAGGGTGTTCCCTCCTTGTTTAAGGTGCGCGTCCGATAGTAGTTCTGCGTTCTCCATTCTCCAAAAGTCGCAAAGCGTTGTGATGCGCTTATGCGATACGTCAATCGTGCGTCGTTGTCATCTCGATATGCTAACTCTGTGACCTACGTTCTCTGCGAGGGTGACACATACTCGCCTTTGCATGCAAAATTCAGTCACACATCCAAAAATACATATGTTCATGCCAGATCTTCTTGGTGTCGAATTACGGTGTCGGCCAATTTCTTCATTGAGACACAAAAACCACCTCAAATGAAATACCTCAATTTCACTTACCGAGAATGTGTTGTGATTTATCGTTTCGTTAATCTCTAATCGCTTTAATTGTGAATTACACATCTTAAAGTAGATAGATCCGGAAATATAGTGCAATCCGACAATAGTGCAAGAAAAGTTCAAGTTTAACATTAAATTTATGGAAAGATTGTAAGCAGGAAAACGTAGCTTCAGTTTGAGATTGCACAGATCTGAATAGATGCATAAAAATAATGAAGAAGGGAACTCTTAGGAATTTGGGTGAAAAAAAACTAAGATTTGAATTCTAATATAATTTTAATTTTTCATACAAATTTTTTTATATGTAAAATTTACATAGAAATTTGTTCTATCTATATACGACGTTGACAAAATTTTATTCGTGCCATCGTTTCGTTTCTTACAGGAGTTGAGTCAGACTCTGGGTGACGACAAGAGCATATCAGAACATTTGAAGCTACCGATACAACGCATAAATGACTACCAGCTCCTGTTAAAGGTAGAATAACGTTTTACTTTTGTTTTATTGCAAAGTTGTAATAGAAATCTCATAATCTTATTATACTCACAACAACTGCAGAAATATATTATTAATTTATCGAGTTTGAAAAACATCTGTAAAAAATGAATAACACAAATGTTTAATATACATTTTTTTTGCTGATGCAATCAAGACAATAATACCAGACAACCAAATGCACAGATATACAGCACGACCTATATTTCCGCCCGAATTTTATTGCGCCAGACGGAAATAGCACGGCGCTAAAGCGCTTTTCACTTTGCCTTGAAATCGTATCTCCTTGATATAATCCATTCATTCAAAATATATATTACAAATTGACAATTAAAGAAGCGCAAACTGTTTGCATCGTTTTAATTAAAAAAAATCGATTTCTCACTAACATTTAAAATGGAATTAATTTAACCGATATTAACAGATATTCTATTTGTGTTTCTTTTTTCACATAGTTTCTTTTTAAATATAGAGGCGTTTTAGATCTACTAAATTACATGTCAAGATTTTTAAAGTATTTCGACAATGCTCGTCGTGATATTCGTTGAAGCCAAGTAGATTAATTTTATTAGCCAGTTTAAATGGGCCAGTTGCCCGGAAAAATAGACACTAAGGTAGCAACTTCTACATTGAAGTATGAACAAGAATCCGCAATTAATAGTTTTTGGCCTATATATTGTTTGTTGATAGTACCGCTGCAGATCGCCGTCACTTTAACGACTATGTATTTTAAAATACGCATAGTAAACATTAGCCAGAAGTCTAAAATAATACTTAATTATTACTTCGTCGACATCAACAGATTTGATAAATTTAGAACATAACAGGTTCGTTAAATTTAGAACCGAATATAACTGAATATAATTGTCATTAGTACATATTTTGAATATAATCGTATGATTTTCTCTGTTACAAAATCCTTTCCAATTCTCGCAATTAAAAATTCTTTCGTACTTTAGTATAAAATGTCTTTATAATATATATATATATATACATCCAGATTATTATTACTTTTATATTCAGATATTATCCAGAATATATATCCAGATAGCACAGCGAGTTCAAAAAGAATTTAAAAAGAATTCATTTGTAATCAATTTAGAAATGTCATCAATTTAGAATTCATTTTCAGACACAAAAAGATTCTTTTTTTGAACAGGTTTGAAAAGAATTCTTTTTGCATCTGAAAATGAACTCAGAATTGATGACATACGACTAAATTTTTTTTGTGCTATTTGGGTATATAGTATATATATGTGTGTGTGTGTGTGTGTGTATATAAATAAACTGGAAATATATATGTGCTAAAAAGACGTCGCTGAATTTGCCGAAGAATTATCTTTCGATAAATCTGGACTTTCTATGAAAAATGACGCTGTAGAACATTTTGCGTTGGTGTTTGTATGAATGTGTGGGCGTTGTGCTGATTTAACGAGCTAAAAATGTGTGTTCGTCTATATAGTAGATTAATATCGAGAAACGGCTTAGCGTTATGAAAAAATTCTGTGCAAACCCGAGACAGGTGCAAGCGTAGAAAATTGCGACGGTAATAATCGAAGTATACGATACAAGTTAATTCGGTCCAAGGATGACAGTCACGATGTCGCGCAAAATTCGTGCGATCGTAGGCGGATTGAGGCAAATCTAATTTCGGTTTAACCGTCACAAAATCATCAATTTGTATAAAGAGATATTAAATGTTTACGCGTATTGTTTACAGGAGCTGGTGAAGTATTCGACTCGATTAGGTGAAAACTGCGACGATCTACAAAAGGCATTAGAGTTGATGCTAGGAATTCCTCATAGAGCAACTGATAATAAATTCATAAGTAATATTGAAGGATATAAAGGGAATATTCACAAACTTGGTAGATTACTCACACATGTAGGTATATGTGTATTAAAAGATAATAAGTAAATTAGAAAGTGTAAAAGATAACGTCATATGATATATTTTCAGGAATGGTACACGGTTATCGATAAAGAAGGAAAGAGCAAAGAAAGATACTTGTTCCTATTCAAAGCACGAATTCTCATTTGCAAAGTCAGACGGATATCGGAGGATAGATCAGTTTTCATCTTAAAGGACATTATTCGAGTAAGAGAGGATTTAGATGACATTGTGATATTTACAATAGAAACATATAAAATAACATGGCAAATTTGATCATTTTGTTTTAGTTACCGGAAGTAGAAGTGAAGGATCATCCCGATAATATACGATCCTTTGAACTACATAATCCGACTGTATCCAACTACCCCATCACTTTAGTAGCTCACAAAGACCCCGTAAAGGCTTACTGGCTCAAAGAAATTCGTCAGTACGCCAGTGATTTGGTCGCTCTCGCCGAACATGCAGCAGATGATCTTCAAGTAACCGAAGAAGTACCGGAAGGCAAAGAAGAGCTCAAGAGCGACGAGAAACCGGTATTGGTGAAAATCGAACCACCTCAAGCGAATCCAGGATTGCTTAAAGCTCAGAGTAATCCAACGAAAGTAGAAGCAAATCCAGGTCCACCAAAAATAGACGCGACTAAAGAATCCACGAAAGTTGTAGAAAAGAGGAAGGACTCCGTGAGCACGACCAATACATCGGAAATAAAGAAGACTAAGATCGAAGAAGATCAAGCAGAAATGTCCCGAAGATATTCCGCGAGTCGGTACAGCGCCTCTTCGAAAGTTGTGGAAGGTGAGAACTTGTTGATACTCGTATCGTCAAAAATCTTCCATCGTAATTTGGTGTAGCATGCGGAAGCTTATTAAAGTTGACAATGCAAATCAATGTTGCGCCGAATGTATATTGTAGTTGCAAACGCTTACTATATATGTCACTATAATATTTATACTTACATGTTCAATTCAAGAATGTCGAAAATAATTCTTTTAGATATTAATAGATTTTCTTCTTGAGTTCTCTTTTGGCAAAACGCCAGTAAATACCATTTTGTTCGAGTATAGTATTCAGAAACAAAAGATAATTTCAAATTACCTAATTCAAAATTTATGGACATACTAGTCATATATGTCAAGTAGTAAGGTAGTTCCCAACTAATCCCTCTGTAGAGTATTCATCGATATCGAGCAGTCGTAATGGCGCGTCCTCGTACATGGAATCGGCGGCGTCCGCTATCGAGACGAGAATGTCTTCCTCGTCGCAAGGAATGGGTCGGACATCGGAAGTCATGACTTCCTACGAGACTGCGATTGCCGGTGGTAGAGCAACGGATTCGAATGTCGAAAGCAGAACTGCCAAAATCATTCTTGACACTGATGTTGGCAAACCGGTGTTTATCAAGATGATAGAAGGATGCAATGTAGAACGTAAGTATACGATGTCAAATTTTTGAACAATTACTATATTATTATTAATTAATAACCGGGGCGTACACAGAAGTAGGATTAAATAATTGCTAGGAATAATACATACATTTTTTTCTTTGATTATCACAAGATATAAGATACATTTTTACTGTTTTAGCGATGCAACCAAAAAAGGCATTGATACACGCCATAGGTAAAGTGACACGTACTTGCTTAGTTTATCAGCGTTTACTGTTCTCTTCCATATCTTTTCGTGTTCTTCTTATAGCTAATATATAGAGCAAACTGCTTTTAGACGTAATATTACATTGCTGGTTAAACACGCTTTACCGCTAAATCATAGATGTCTGCTACATACAACGATACAACATCTACACTAAACATTTGCATTCACTACACTGATATGTTACTTTGACAACAATATCATATCAACACTTACGGACATTTACATTGACATATCTTCACAATTCACACACTATATTGCTTCTTCAATCGATTTTCATAGATAGTAAAGTGACATTGAAGCATTTTTTTAGAAATATATACATCTATACAGGG